CCATCTCTTACACACCCCCACCTAAAGCAGAGATAGGAACGTGTCCTGGATCACCAGCCCTGTAGTGGCAACTCACAGCTGTAGCTCCTAGTCAAGCCCCTGCTCGCCAGCCCTCTACTAGCAAGTCACAGCTCAGTGAGAGAAGGGTTTTAGCCTTAAGGGGTGCATCCACACATGCAAGCATATGTGCTTGCAGCAGCTCAAATAGAAGCAGTGACATTTGAGCCGGAGCTTTTTGCCTCAGCGCACGTGCCCGGGCATGCACTTTGGTGTGGGGCAAATGTGCCGCTTGGGGAAAAATAACCCTGCGTGGCTCCTCCTGGATCTGTAGCCTGGGGGAGCTAGAGCCCAGGGCCAGGACCTGTGCTGTCTCCAGCAGTACAAAAAGCTGCCCTGTCAAGCAGCTCAGGGCTACCCGCTTTCAGGAGCTTCTGGGGCCCAGCCAATTGGTACCTGGGGACACTACTCCTTGTACCAGCTGGACTGATGAGAGTTCCCTGCACCCTTGACCCACTGCAGCAGTCTGGAAGTGGGAGCTGCTGCCTGGCTGTGACCTGCTGCCCATCTGCCACACCTGGATGCAGATTGTACAGCCAGTAGAGGCATCTCCCCTCTGGGCCAGCTGCCAGTGGGCTGTGGCTGGAGAGTTGGCCTTTGTGCAGCACTTCTGCCACCTATGCCCTCTGCCCGGCCATCTGGGCAGCTATTGCCCAGAACATGTTCCGGGCATGGTGGTTTGCTTTCAACTGTCAAAGCATGTCCTCCTGGCCCCAGTTGACCAGGAGGTCAGCCACCTCCAGCTGGGTCCAAGGTGCCAGCTCTGAGCAGGCTCCTCTGCCTGGGTCCTGCCACTTGCCTCCCCAGCAGGAATTCTAGTGTTCCCTATTGGAAATCTGAAAAATCCCTAATTAAAAAAAATCCCAGTCACTCTGCAAAATACCCTGAAATCCATGAATCCATGTTCCTCCACAATTACCACTAGAGAGAGAGAGAGAGAGAGAGAGATCAGTCAGTTGGGCAATCTTTTATTGATATATCTGCAGTGTTAGAGGAATTTGGAAGCCTACCAGTATCTCTATCATCATAATAAAATGAATTCTACATGCCTATAAGTTTTGCTGTTTCCAATTGGTTTTCTTACCACAGAGCAGTTAGAGCTCCCCCTGACCTCTTCACTAACCAGAATGTGGAGACAGCTGCCCCTGCAGCCACAGCTCCTGCCAGCAGGTCTCATCTTGTCTGGCAGCTGGGCACACAGGGTGTATGCTGGGGGAATGTGGGGTTTTCAGGACAGTGTGGGAAGGATGTGGGTTGCTGTGGGTGGATTGTGGAGGGGCTGTACAGGGGGGATGATTAGGAGGGGTTGGTCCCCTGCCCCCCACAGGGCACAACCACTCTGTGCAGCTCACAGACTGCTCCCCTCCCGCAGGGCTACAGCCTCTCACAGGGGCCACAGACCCTCATAGGTGTTGCAGTCCCCCCGCAGGGGCTACAGCCTCCCAAAAGGGGCCTTGGCTACACCCTCCCCCCGCAGGGCTCACATGTCCCACCCCCACTTGCTCCCCCAGCCCCCTGGATTGCTGCCCCGCTGGGCCCCATCCTCCAC